AGAATATATTTGGTGTTTTTTATTTTATCGCGATAACGAATTTTACAACTTTTATAATACGCTTTGCAAACATTGATAACGGATCTTTTGAATCTCTTATCTGTGCGAATTCATTTGCATACGTCATTGCGAGTATAGTAGACACAGTTTCATTTGGAGCTATTGGACCGGAAAGAGTTAATAACGTGAACATGAAATGTACGGGCAGGTGGCTTTTAATCCCGCGACTTTATAAGCGGAATGTCGACGGCGAGAGGCGGCGAGATAAGTAAAGATAGACCCACCGCGTAGCGCAGCTCGAAAGCGCGGAAAAGCGATTAAGGCGGTTGCGGGCGAGCTATCGGTCGATCGGCTATAATTCACGAAACTTTATTTTGAGAGTCTCGATCCCGAGGGAAACGACGCGTGCCTCGCGTGAGGAACTCAGACAGATTCTCGATGTTGTTCCGCGGTGGAAAAGTCGGCGCGCTTCGGAGGAAGCTTAAAAACGGGCCGAAATACTATGTATTCCGGCTGACCTAAATCTCGAAGGTGCCGCTCGACCCCTACTCGTGGCGTTTCTCGGCCGCCGTGCGCTATCGATTATTCACACAAATATTCCGCTCAGCTCCATGAAAATCCCCCCGGAGAGTTTTCCTGTAACTCCGAAACACGAAAGACATTACAATCCGGTCGGTCGCTCGCCGTGAAAAGTGATCCAAGCCACTCACGTTCGCCCGGAGTGACCTAGATCTTCGTATCGTGAAAATACGCTTCTAATATCCGAGGATAATGGAGCTTATGGCCGAGAGAGAGAGAGAGGGAGAGAGAGAAAGAAAGAAAGAGAGAGAGAACCGCCTGGATCCTGCCAGCCGTGTCTTAATCCTTAATATTTCTGCTCAACGGCGTGCAATAGCCAAATAACCATGCAACGGTCGCAAATTTTCCGTCAAATTTTTCGACGTATCTTTAGCCGGGATAAAATATTTTGCGTTAACTCTCAGTGTTTTTATTTTTCGACGAAGAAGGAGGGGAAAATTCTTCCGAGACTCGATAGTGATCGATACGATGATGTAACGAGATCGTAAAGGATCACATTCTCTCTCATGCGCTGTAATTGCATCAACGCGTATAAAATACTCTTTTTTTTTTTGCGCGAGCAAGAGCGCGACTTGAACTGAATGAAATCGAGGGGGTTTATAATACGGCGCATGAAAAATCATATATGCTTACGAGCACGGCGGATCGGTTCGTAAACCAGGATTTATCGGAAAACATTTTGAAATAAAAATATTTGAAAATTCGTGTGGTCAAAAAATGGGACACATGTCAATCAGTCAGTTGAAATTTTGTTGGACGTTATTGTGAAGAACAAGAGATGGTTATTTTAAAATGGATATTGTATTTTCATTTAGATCTCGACAGTGTGGCCAAATATTAATATCTCGCTGTAATAAAATAAAACTAAAAATAATACGTTATATTACACACAAGCAACGTTATAATTATTTTAATCACAAATGAAGTTTATTATAAAATTATTAGACACATATATGTTTCAGAAAGGAAAAGTACTTTTATTCACTGATTCATTTATCCATTCATTCATTTATTTAATCATTTATTTATTTGTTCATTTATTTACGATTGCGAATTTATATTGATTTCCAGAAAATAAAAAGACCGTGCAGTTGAGTGCCAGCCTATCGTTTATTCACATAAATCATCAGACATCTTCTATCATCGGTAGTGAGATAAATCATCCAAATTAGCAGAGCATCGGTAAGTGCGTGTTGACACGAAACATTTAAAAATCGAAAGAGAAGTCGCAATACATTCCGATACGAAAGTGATTACCTACTTTCAACAATTATTCCGTCTAGAAAGAGAAACGATCGCGGCTGTTCTGCCGCGACTGCCGGCTGATTGATATTCGGCTCTGTAATTCGCGCGGGGATAGTCGCGGCGGCGCGCCGCCTTTGCAGAAATCCGGAGAACCTTGCCGCGCTCTTACCGCGAGTCGCGCAAGGCCGTTTCAACGGTGGTATTCGGGCCAGCCGTTTCTCTAGAAAGGAGCACGCCGCTTACGCGGCCGCGACACGGCTCGCACGCAGAAAACAAAAACATTTCTCCGCCGCCTTGCGCGCGCGCTTGCCCGCGTCTCTCGCTTTGGAGAACGGAGATCCTGGCCGTGGACCAATAGACGCGCGTCCTTGATGAACGGATCCTCGAGTCACGTGGATTCTATATAGAGCGCCGTAGTATATTATTCACCGTAGAGACAAGCGCGACCACGTCGGCAAATTTTGCAACAATATACAGGCTAAACAAGGCATTTGAGAAATTCGCAGTCCAAGTATGAACGCCCACGTTCGCCGTCGCGGCGAATTATTAGCATATTTAACGAAATACGTTACGTAAGGAGATATATTACCCATACTTGCAGGAGAAATCCCCGATCCGGTCTACCGGAGTCTCGGCGAGCCGAGCCGGACCGCGCGCGCGAGTCGGTTCTCTCCGGCGGGCACGACACACGCGCGTGCTAACGTAGTCAAAGGCCATTGTGCCACTCCAGGATTCCGGCGTGAGTCACACTCGGTGCCCCCGGACGTGGTTGGTTGTGTGCCCGAAGTAAGTAAAGCGCGCCGAGCGGCGCAATCGCCCGGCTAATCGAGATCGACCGCTGACTCAGAAAGAAAGCTCGCCGGCTGAGATATGAGAGGTTGTCTTTAAAACGCGTTGCCTAAAGCGGGTTTTAGTCTCAACGAGCACGTATACGCAATCCGCGGGGTCACCGAATCCTTGTCCCGTAACTCGAGGGACACTTCGGGCAGGAGGGGGCTCTCGATCGCCGTAGATGGCCGTCGCTGTCAAAACTCGTCCCTCGACTTTTGACGGATCTTCCCTTATAAATCAAACATCGGCCGATGTTGACGTTGACGACACACGTGAGAATGTACACTTCGCGAAGGTACGGCAGGAGATAAAGATCGTCGGGCGTCGAAAGGAGCGTGTCCACCTCGTGGGAACCGCTCAAAGTTGCGTTCCGAACACTTGTGCGAATCACTTTTACAGTCTCGTTGGTTAACATCAATCGGGTCCTGCGTATCTCTCTCCCTGTCTCTTACGTTATATAAACAAACTTCTCTTATATAAGCTCAGCTCGACTCGACTGCAATGAGCGAAACAGAAAGCAATTTTCGACTTTTTAATGCATTACGTCGCGTCGATACAAGATTTTTTCAACAGCCTGTCTCTTTTCTTTCTTCCTTCTCGCCTGCAGACGTTTCGCGACGAGGAAAGTATCTCCTCGCTCGAGTATCAGGAAATCACTGGCGGGAGAAGAAATGAGCCGCGTGATTTCGCGAACTGCTCGATTCTCCGGAGGCACTAAAAACTTAAGAGCCTCGTTTGGCAGGCCGAACACTCTTCGGCTCTCGTATGTGCTCTCCCGCCTCGTGAAAAGGCGAAGAAACCGAAAATTGTTGCAGCGCCGCGTTGCAGTTTTGCTCGCTTCGTTAAGATCGTCGTGCGGATCTCTTGCTTTCGCGGCACGGCGTTATCCGGCTATCCGAGGCATTTCCGGTTCTTGCCGCGCGTATCCGTCGATATCGGTTAGGCGAGAAGCACGTACGAGCGCGCACGCAGACAAGTGAAGGCGCACCGGCGTCGACCATTAGCATATCCTGGTTCTCAGCGAGCCGATCATTTCGATCGGCAATAAAGTACCCCGCCGGCGAGTTACGCAAAGATTATGCATTGTGAACACTGTTGCATCGCGTATATGCGCTAGCGCGCTTACGCGCACGTAAGTTTATGTACGTATTCCGGAGGCGGACTCGGCGTTGGAATAACCGTGAAGGCGAGCAGCGCGAAAGACGTACACGCACCGTTGCGGATCACATACGACGTAGCCGAACGGAATTCCGCCGCCTTCGGAATCCTGGAGTACTCGTCTCTTTCTCTCTCTCTCCCTCCTTTTTTTCTCGCGCTGTCTTTCTTCGCGTTTTCTTCTCAACGTAGAAACCGTTTGCTTGTCTTCCGGCAAAAATGCAACTCGCGCTGTACCTCGAAGCGATATCAAAAAGGGGGATTGAAAGTTGTCTATTTTGATATAAAGCGATATCTAGAAATTTCTTAACGAATATAAGATCGACCTGCTTTTTCTTCACGAACATTTATTCGCGACGATCGATCATCAATCTTAATTTTTTCTCCCAACGAAAAAAAGTAAATTTCTAAGCTGTACCTCGAAAAAATTTTCGGAATCACGCGCTACTCTCATTATCGCGAAAATTTGCCAGACGATGCAAAGGGACGATGCAGGTCCGATACTCGATAAGAACCGATGGCAGGGAGGGTGGAAGGGGGGGGTCTTGCATGCCTTACGCCTCTGCGTTAAGGGCGGCTGGCGGCTGCAAGCGTGCTAAGAATACCGACGACGAGAGAAACGGTCGGGAAGAATGTAAAAGACAATGGAATGTGTCGCGTCGCGCATGCGTGGCTTCGTGGAATGCGGCCCCGTAACGGCACATCCGTTAGCCACGGCGTCTGCCACGAAACGCGGGGCCTTATTGCGCGCAATCGCCTCTCTCGCCGTTCGTGCATCGAGAGGGGCTTTTCGCGCAACGCCAACCGTCGCCGCCGCCGCTCGATCTGTTTGCTGTTTCCTCTCAGACGATTGAGAGTCCTCTCCTAGAGTTTATAGCACCTGACCTTATGCACCTGACGATTAAGTCCGACAAGGAGAACGAGCCGCGGTATTGAGATCCTCGAGGAACTTAATTTGAATGTCTTGTCGCACTGCAATTTTTTTACCAATTTTTGCAAAAGTTTATTATTCAACGTTACATAATTGCGCTCTATTCGAAATCTGTGTCTCAAAATATATGCTACCTGGTTCACAGGGTCAAACTTAAGTTGCGGTTTTAACACGCAAAACGTGTTATGATAATTATATTTCACACGCGACGTCATTTAAGAGCGTCGCGGAAGCGCGGATCGAAAACACAATCATTTAACGATCACCAACGAGTCCTGGAATTTCTTTATCGGAGGTTTTTTTTTCTCCACGAATCTCAATATTCCCCCCCGTCTTTCCGCTGATGTATAAAGTAACCTGTTGAATATTCGCACCGTTACGTCGTGTGCGTTTTGTCAAGTGTTGCCGATACTGCGTGTTGAGTTTTATCAGAGGGGCATCGCCGCGCCGAGAGAAAGAGAGAAGTTCGCGATACTCTTGAGAAACTTCGCCGCGATAGAGTCCCCGTCGCCGTCGAATTGGCTGGAAGATCAGCATCAGGAATGCGAACCCATCATCATTACCGCTCGGCGGATTATCGGTGGGGGCCCGTTTTCGCATCGCGCTTGTTCCAAGTCGCGCGCGAATCACCGGCGATCTGAGAGTGTTTTCGTGAAACCTGGCTCTCTCGCGCCGTCTCTCTCCGTCTCTCCTTACTTACTCCACATCGCGAGATGTATACGAATGAGCTCGTTATAAATTTCTCAACGGCTGGATGGCGTGGCGGCGAGGCCACGCGTCTCGCTCGCGCGACGGGAGGGGTCTCGAGAGCGGTTTTCGGCCGTCGGGGCCATTGACGCATCGCGATTTGTAATCGGAATTTCCTGACTGTTTCGCAACGCAACCCCGTCGGCGCTCGACGGAGCTTTTAGCTCCTCGGGCTGGAATTTTCGATAGCGAGACGCCGGAGGAACTCGATATCGCCAATTTGCCGACTTGACACGCGTCGTATTGCCTTATAGGAAACGGTAAATCAAATCGTATCGGTTTGCGTAATAATCGCGCAGAACCGCGTACTTTTACGTCATCGAAATGCGAATTAAAGGCTATTTTTGCCGACATCGATTCTAGTTTAATTAATTATTCGATTCTTCAGAAGTGCAAATGAAAAAGAGTATAAGTTAATCTATAATTATAATTAAAGCCTGACTGATTTATCAAGGGCGATCAAGCGTGCTACATTCCGCATCACAAATGAGTGTGCGCCAAAACGCGAGAGATCCTAATTATTGATTAGCAATATTGATTCGGATTAGCTCAATGAGATCGTAGTAATTGCAGTTTCACTCGAAGGAAAATGTCGATGTTAAAATCGAACAACTTATTTGCGTATGTTTCCACTTCGTGATTTTCCGTTGATAGATATCAGCTTTATGAGGGGGCATAAATGTTCTCATAGATTTCACGCTTTCACTCTTGTCACGCCAATACGAAGTAGATATTGCCTACATGTCGCGGATCTATAATAAGAAATCATGGTTAAAAGGATACTTGATCTCGATATTAGTGGATTAATATCGTGTTACTTGCCTTCCAGTTCGTTTTCAGACTCGAGTGCACTTCATAATTCAGTAATGCAAATCCACGGTGATGAAGCGTTACGTATATGTAATTTGCTTGAATAATTAACGCAAAAATTGGAAATTTATAACTTTTCGAATGTACAATTACCGTAGCTACGTGTCACTGTGTCCAATTATTTGCCCATTTATTTATCGCTTCGTCAGATGTATGTCGCGTCTTACTGAGAAATGTCTGGCTTATTGAGAAAACACGCGTGATACATACCGGGTATGCTTTCCCGATGATAATTCATTGATTCGCTTTTGCACAGTAATTCGAACGGTATTCCGTCCCTGACGCATCGGCGGCGATTCTCGGCCACCTCTCCTCTCCCAGTTCTCGTAAAGTGATCGCAATAACGAAACATTATTGCACGCGGTTCGATTGGGTCGGCGGAGTCGGCAGAACGGGGAACGGC